CGCAGCGCGCAGAACAATACAAGAGAAACGTCAACGAGACCACCGTGTTCGGTGATCACAAGCCCTCGCCGATTAACATCATCGACAACTGTTCGCTGTACCCCAACAGAGATATCAGCGATAGTAGAAATGTCAGCGTGGAGCCGAAGAAGATCGACTTCTCTCTAGAAACTACAGACAACAAAACCCAGGAGGAATTCACTTCGCTCAGAGAACTGGGTATCACTCTGGACGTCCGCCAGGAGAATTTCCCCGACATCCTGACTCAGTTGAAGCATGAGGTTAAGAAAGCGAGAAATGAACTCGAGAGTTGCAAATCTGAGCTAAAAAATGCCGAGGAGCAGCTGTGCGAGTTTCCAGCTTTGAAGGAGGAGGTCGACGAACTGAAGGCCCTCCTGGAGAACACGATGGCCACCATGGAAAAAGACAAAAAGTTTTACGAAAATCAATTGGAGAATTTCTCCACGAACAAGAAGCAACTCGAACAGAGGCTCACGGAACTGACGCAAGAGGTCAGCGATAAATCTAAAGACTTGCATTTGCTCAAAGAAGACATCCTTCGAAGGGAGAATATGATATTAGAATTGGCTAAAGAAAAACGAAACTTGACTAACAGATTGAACGAATTGGAGACCAAAGTAGACGAGCTTCAGAACCGAAACGAGGCTTTGCTGCAATATGAAATTGAGACGCATACGATGAAAGAGAAAATAAAAGAATTGGAGAAGTTGGAGCAGTTGGTGTCGGAGAAGAATCAGCAGATCGACAGTCTGAACCAACATTTGGATAGACTGGACGATATGCAGAGAAATCTGAACGACAAAACTGAGGAACTGGAAAATTTGAAAGTCACTCTACATCAAAAGACGAAAGAATTGTATCAGGTGCAAGCGACGGTGTCTTCTCTGACCCACGACATGGACCGAGTCAGCGAGGAAAACAACGAACTCAACAATCATAACAAAGAACTTAAACTGAATATGTCCAAACTGGAGAAGGAACAAGAGAACGCATCCTTAAAATTACAGAATAGCGAAAACGAACTCGAAAGACTGAATTCCATCAACAACGAGCTGTCCTCCAAGATTGAGGAACTAAAAGTTATTAATGACCAGCTGAAAGATAAAGAGACGGAGATTGAAATCCTCAACGAAGACATAAACGTCTACCACAGCGAGATATGTGCTCTGAAAGAGCAGCTGGAGATAGTGTCGCGGAGTCCCTCCCCCGGCGCTGCGCAGGGCAGGGAGCAGGGCAGGGAGCAGAACGGGGAGCGGCGCGCGGCCCTCCGCCGCCTGCTGCCCGCCGTC